TGAACTTCTTATGTTATGTAACTTCTCACTTCAGACAGAGCACTCTGAAATTAACTCATCTGACATAGAGGGGTAGCTAAGTTTTGCCCTAAGTATATTTCTACATTCTGATTTTTCTATGGAGTAACAACATTTTCCAACTTGTGGGGTGGGCTTCTCTGAAGTGGGATCAGGGGCTGTGCTAGCAGCTGGATTTTTTAAAAATTTAATGAAACCTTTATGTAAATGTGTATTCATTGAGAAAAACTGTAGGGAGAGGCACCAAAATATTAACAATACTTATCTCTTGGGGGGCAATTTTAAGTTTTCTTCTTTTATCTGTATATTCTGATTTTCTATAACACCTATTACTTTGTAATAACAAATGATGTTACAGGATACAGGATACAGGGATAGACAGGGAAAATGTAGAAATGTGTTGTGGTGGGCCACCCAAATATATCAGGTCTTAATCCCTGGAATCTATAAATGTTGTATCTGTAGATGTGTTTAAATTAAGGGTCTTGAGTTGTGGAGATAATCCTGGATTATCTGGGAAGCACAAAATGCAACCAAAAGTGTCCTTATAAAAGAGAGACAGAAGGAGATATGAAACAGATAGAAAAAGAGAAGACAATGTGACCATGGATGCAGAGATTGAGTGGCCGTGCGCCAGGGAATGCTGGTAGCCACCTGAAGCAAGAAGAGGCAAAAAATGGATTCTTCTCTAGAACCTCCAGAAAGAGTGTGGTCCTGCTAACTTGATTTCAGCCCAGTGATGCTGATGTTGGACATCTGGCCTCCAGAATGTGAGAGAATAAATTTCTGTTGGTTTAAGCCATCCAGTGTATGGTATTTTGGTACAGCAGCCACAGAAGACTAATGCTATAGTATATTATGGTAAAATGAGCAAAATTATATCCACATTCATTCAAGTACATCCTCCATGTGGTCTCATCACATCATCAAGGGTCTTGACCCCCCTTTGCAAATGGATTTGCAGTCAGGCGTTATCAATGTATTTAGAATGAATAATGTACTCTCTTGCCCTTTTGCTCTTCCTCCCAGTCTCTTCCCACCCTTTATTCTCCTGAGAGTGTGGCAGAATGGAATTGCCCAGGATTCTGGAGCCAAAAGACCTGAGTTCAAGTGTGGGTTCCATCTTGCAACTAAAACAAGTCACTTAAGCTTCTTAGCAGTAAAATGGTGACTATCCAGCTTGCTCCAGGGTTGTTTGAACATTGTCTGAGCTACTATATCTAAATGTCCTACATGAGTGCTCTTCTGTGACTTCTGTGACTCTCAATTTAAGGGGGAAGGAGGGGAAAAGTCACAATAATTTTCTCCCTGGGGGCTTGTAACTCATAACTCTAATGATTGTTCTAGAATTTTGCTAGTCTTCTGCCCCTGACTCTCAGGGGAAGTTATTGGGTCAACCCATGTTTGGCAACTTTCTAATATGCCTTAATAAAGGAGGGTCAAACCTTCTCGACTGATTCTTTTAGGAAATAGGTATACATTACATCTACTATTCTCAGCTTCATATATATATATATATATATGTATATATGTAATATAAAAATAAATTTTTAATTCCTCATCCTCACCCCTTACAATTGGCCTAATAATTCAGACACAGTAATATAAAAGAGGCTCTAGTAGGATAAACTAAATATGGGAGGACAGAATATTGATTTTCAAGGGGACTGAAATCCTGTCCTAATATTAACATTTGAAATAACTGGAAGTATTTGTCAGAGAGAAGGAAAAACTTCAAGAAAGTTTCTATAGCTGAGTTTAGATGTCTGCAGGCAATCTTTTTATTTGTTTTCCCCCTCTTTCCTTTCTGGGATGTATTCTAAGTTCTGCCTCTAACAGCAATAAAGAGGATCAGAATCCTCTTCTCAGCTCAGTTCCTCTGCTGGGACTTCTTGCTGATGTATTCATCCTGAATGTTCTGTTTGGCTTGGGTGGTGTGTAAGTTCCATTTCTTGATGTGGATCCTACCTGCTTGCCTGATGTTGCTAGACTGCTAAGATGTGGCTCCTTCTTCCTCTTGCTCCATGTCAGCAGTTTATATCTGGACCTTTGCATGAGTGTTAACCACCTCTACCTGACATACTGGCTTTTTCTCTGCTTCTCCCCTCTCCTTCTGGAGGGCTGGGAATTTCAGACTTCCTGAATGCTACAAGAAAGCCTCTGGAAGCTAGGGAGGAGGGTCTTCCCCCTCCCAACAACTGATGCTCCAGATTTCTGGGTCAGTGGACTCAGGAGCATTGAGAAAGGTCTTGAGAGAAAAAAATGAGAGGGGCTTGGGTTAGTATCTGATTTTACACCACATTTTACTGAGGATAAGCCTGTATTAGCCTATTTATATTTTAAAAGTGAACATACTATTTTCTAGTTTTTAAAATGCTGATTCTGCAAAAGCATTTTTTGTATGTAATTAATGAGATAATTACCTCTACTTACTTAGTCATGCAATCTCCTATGTAGCTGTTCTCTTCCATGTAACTAACCTAAACTCCAAGTAAACTAAATGACTTGCAGTTTCCTAAGCCCATGAAACGATCTTTGGAATGTTATGGCCCAGGCTGCCAGCCTCCCACCCCTCTTTGGCCAAAAATTTTTACTCATCCTTTAAATAGCAAGTTAATTGTTACCTCCTGTGGGGAAGTTTTCAATATATTTTTATAAATTAATGGCCATGCCTTTCCATTGCTCTCCTATGGATCTCCAAGTCTGTCTCACAATATACGCTCAACCCTGTGTCTCCAGATTGAAAGTCACATTTATGTAGCTTGGATAATAAATTTAAGTATATTTATTTAAGCATTTAAAAACCTGGGTGGGTTTTTGAACTTTGCTAAGTTTACCAGCAATCTTCACCTTGTAGTGAAAGGAGCACTGGACTAGAGTTCAGGAGATTTAGGCATAGTCCTATTCTGGTGCCTTCCTTGTCTTTTCTGGCCTCGGTGGCCTCCCTCATGAACGAATGTGGCTTGATTACAGCCCTAGTCTTTGGGTGGCAATTTACAGGTAATCTGCTTTTTAAAAATTATCCAGTCCAGTCCCCTTCATTTCACAGGAGAGGAAACTGAGGCTCAAAGGTGATATGTAACTTAGTCAAGATCCTATACAATTAAGAAATGACTAAGGGTAATGAAATCTTGGGATCCTCCACCAGGGCTGACCTCCAAAAACATCCCTAGTTCTAAAATTCTTTAACCCTCCAGTTAAGAAAAACGGAAGAAATAGATAAAGGGAAGCCAAAAGAGATGAGATTTAAAAGAAACAAAAACAGCCAAGACTGAGTGGGAAAGCCCGAGCTTTCCATGAATTACAAGTGAACTTCCTGTCCTGGGTAAACTTCCGGAATCAACGACAAGGAGAGCCAATCAGAACATTTCTCCGAGAGCCAATGGGAGAGCATATTACAAAGAGCCAATCCCAGTGGCGCTGTCACTGTTATGGTCCTGTCAGGGCGCCGGCGTCGTGGTGCTTGGGCGGTCGCCACCGAGAGGACTTCTGTGGGGGACCCTCGGGGACAGGCCCGCTGCCCTCGTCTCCCGCTTCGCTCCCAGCAGTCATCTCCCGGCTCGCGGGCCGCACCGTAGTGCGCGCGTGCGTTTCGGCGCCGCAGCCGCCTTTGGGCCTGGGCCCAGCCTCAGCCTCCTCCACTGCCTCGGGCTCGGAGGGGCCGCGAGATGCAGCCGCCGGGCCCGCCCCCGGCGTATTCCCCCACCAACGGGGACTTCACCTTTGTCTCCTCGGCAGACGCGGAAGGTGAGACTGAGCCCAGCAGGGCCCATCTCCGGGATATAGGGGACGCCTGGCCGGACGCGGCAGGGTCTTTCTGGTGCGAGGCGGCCCTGGCCGAGCGGGGACCTGCAGGAATCTGACCCGTGGGTGACTCGAGCCGTCCGCGCTCTCCAGGCCTTCCGAGAGGGCCCGGTGGCCGAGGGAAGGGTGTGGGGCGCCTTCTCAGTGACTCGGTCTGCTTCTGGCTTTCCTCACACCGTCTGGTGGGCAGGTTTTTCTGGCGGGCTTCCCACCTCGAGTGGACCCACGGGACCCCAAAATTTTATTTTTAAAGTGACTTGTTATTACTCAGAAGAGGGATGGTTAGTAGCTGGGAAAGGTATCAAAGAATGAGAACGAGGAAGGAGAGCTGTTTTGACCTGTTATTTAGATAACTTTTTGCTGAGATTAGATTCGGCGCTGGAAATACTAACTTCCCTCGTGGAGTTTGTGGTTTTTATTGAATCTGATATCTTGCCTGCGCCCTAGTTTTCCTCCTATTTTATGGTGTTTGACCTCAGTATTCAGAGAATTGGACGCAGGTATATTTGAAGTTTCTTGTAGTCCAGGGTGTTCCCAGTGGCTTCTGCAGATTTTCTTATACTGGTTCGAGGAAGCTTTTGTGCTGGAGAGATTTTTCTACAGCATAGGAGAATTTGTTTTCCTCTTCTCTCTTCCTTACCAGACTCTTTGTAACTGAAATCTTTCTCGGTTAGTCGTCTTCAGATTTTACTTTTGTTAGATCTTGTACACAACTAATTTTCCAATGACCAGACTTACTGCTCCATGTGAAAAAATACATTATACATCTCTATAGAAATTTTTATTCTAAAGAAAGAACTAGTGTTTCCGCAGAAATCTAGTTTCCTAGTGCATCAGTTAATATAGCTTGCTTTCCCTTTTTGTTGTTTTCCTCGTTTTGCTTTTTGAGTGGCATTAGTTAAAAAAGTGCTGTAGTTTTGGTTATAATTTAAAATGTAAAATAAAATTTTTCTCATAGAGAACATAGCTGATACGGTTACACGTAATACGGAAATTTGGTGAAATACAGGAACCCAGCATGTTTTAATTTGTTTCATCTACATTTGGTAGCACAATGCTTGGGGAGGACTATCAACATTAATTTCCCAGACTTTAAGAAAAAATTGTCTGTCATTGAGTATCAGAACCTGATGTTTATTCAAACTCATGTATTTATATTTTTCATATCCTCCCTTACTCCAGGAATTACCTTTCTTAAATAAGCCTAAGAAATTTGACAATAATATAACAAGCTAATCCATTAACTCCACGTACCAAATCAAGAAACGTGGAATAAGTAAAATCCATAAGGTTGATTCAGACTTCTCCATATTGCCTCCAGGGATATATAGACTCTCTGTATATCTAGGTATATATAGACAAGGATAGATATGTGTATAATGATACCCTCATTATAACATTATACAGTTTAAATTTGCAGAGCATTTTAAGCAAAGACTTGTTTGATCTATATAAGAATCCTGCTGAGCTTTATTCCTATGTTTTATAATGGAACTGAGGTTTAGAGAAGTTCAGTAACTTCCACATAAAGGATCTAGAATTAAGAGCTACTGTTCTGTGATGCCTTTTTCTTATATTTTTATAAATTGAATAGTGTAT